ACTTTGTGTTTGTCTCTGTTGACCAATAAAATTGACTTCTCCTCCTCCTCAGAGTGTCTTTAAACTTTCAGGAATGTCATAGGCTTCCAGGTTTATCAGGTATATCTTGTGCAGCCATATGCGTTGTCACTTATATGAATGCTTGGGCAGTTTTTAAAATACTATGTAGGACTGGGAATTGTTCTATCCTTTTTTTATTTTCCAACAAGCTCCAATTAAATTAATTTGGTTTCTTTATGTAGTTTTAATTTCAAATAATTCTTTTGAGCTACCATATTTAAGAGGCTACACTAACTTTGGCTAGCTTTCTGTGTTTGCTTTTGATTAAATAATTTCTTCTTAGTGATTTTGGATTATCCTAGATGATGTGTCTTGAATTATTTATTGATATTAATTTTTCATTTGTATTTGGCACAGCACCTCTACTTTCCTCTTTTTTTGTTGCTGAATACATACACACGTTGCTAGTGATTGAAAAGATTATTTGGCCTTTTGCACACAATAATCTATGTTATTTTATACATGACAATCTAATCTCAGTGTTAAAATATAGAATAAAAAGTTCACCTGTTTCTAAATCAGAGATGGCCTTGTGTATGGGCACAGTAAATAATTTTATAGGGTAATTTCAGGAGTGCTTAAATAGCATAGAGAAGAAAGAGTTGTGAGGACACCAACATCTATGAAAGGAAAAGAAAACAAAAGAGATGAGGGTCTGTAAAGACTAACTTTACCAGCAGTATTTTCAGTATTTTACTCACTTATGCAGAGGATTTGGGCAATATTTACTTACTTATGCATTTTGATTCGAGATGGTAGCACCACTGTGTTAGATCCAAAATCCTTTCATAGTATGAACAAATTGCATTTATTTTTGTTTCCTACAAAAACACAGTTAAAATGCTAAATTAAAAAAAGAATACACAGGTTTTTCCAGGCAGAAGTTAATCCCTTATTAAATTATTTAAGTATATCTTCTTAGTGAAGGGTCTTGAAAAGAGGTAATATATAAAGTCTTTCCTTTTAGGAGGGACTCAAATTGTTAAGTGAAAGCATTAATGTATGGCTTCAAGAAAGAAAACTTTACTATTTTGCAAGAAGAAATTCAGGGTCCCCCAGGATGGCAGCCACATATAAATTGAAATTAACATTGGTAGTTTTCTCAGTTTCTGAGTTATACTATAAACAAGGACTACTAGATCAGAGCCCTGGCTACTGAGGACCTGAGAGATGGATTTCAGAAAGTGAGTGACCGTAGGTGACTGTCTTGGGAAAGCACTACTTTTGAGACACTGGAAGGTACCTTTTAGAGGCAGGGGGTGTATCTTGGAGACTCACTGGTAAAGAGAAAGAAAGAGGCAGCTGAAGTTGTGTTCAAAGGAAATAAGATAAATGAAAAAAAAAAAGACAAATACTGTTTCTGCCACCATAACAACAAGTACCATTTACTAAAGAAACTACACTCCAGTGTAGTCACGGAGGAGGGTATTCTTGAACTCAGAAACTTAGTAAAAAAAAAACTCCCTTCTTCCCCCATGACAAGAGCTACTGCTGGCCCTAAAAAAACAAAATTACAAATTATCTTCAATAGAAAAAGAAGGAAGCATCTGTACTAAGTTACAAGGGGTGGGGGCGGGGGGAGAGAAAAGAGAGAAGAGAGAATGAAAGGAAAAATAAAAAGAAAAGGAAAACCACAAAACAGGAAAACAGAAACTCAGTACTCTAACACAAACAACCTATGTTAAGCAAATAATTGTATCATGAAGTGACCTCATAAATTACTAGAGAGAGAAAGAGAATGAAAGGAAAAATAAAGAAAAGAAAAACCATGAAACGGAAGCAGAGAAACACGTACTCAAACATGAATAACCAATATTAAACAAGTAATTGTATTATGAAATGACCCCAAAAATGAGACACTCCAATACTCAAAATTGAAATGGATAAACAGGAAGATGTATGAAACAGGAGCTGACTGAACTCTACAAAGAAATTGATGAAAAAGGACAAAAATCATTTCAGAAATGAAAACTAAATTACAAGGTACCCAAGAGATGATAGATATTACCAAAAGTTTAGTAAAAGACATAAAGAACAGAAATGAAAAAGAGCGAAGAAAATGTAACTTGAAATAAGAGAGAGAAATGGATCAGAGAGACGTGATAGAGAAAATCCAATGTATTCAGTTCAAGAACTTAAACTAGAAGAACAAATGAAAAATGAACAGAAACATTTCAAATTATAATGAAAAAAACTTTTCAGAAACAAAAGGAGATCTGAATTTCCATATTGAAAGGACTCTTATGTGTCTGGGAGAATTGATCTAAAACAACTAATATTTAGCTGTATCTTTGTGTTAGATCTTCGAATAAAAGGAATAAAAAAAAGACCACTTGAAACCACAAACCAAAAATAAATTAATAATTTAACAATTTAAAGTAAATTAAAAATGAAAATAAATAAAATGGAAAGAAAAATTAGCTTGATATCATACTTCTAGTGACATATAAAGCAAGAAAATGATAGACAAACATTTTCAAGAAATTAAAAATGAGTAATACTTTTAATTTATTGTGAAACATTGAGTAAGTAAAAAACCTCCTATGTCTGTAGAGATACCCAAGATTACTTGTGAATTGCATTTTGTATGACTTTTAAAAAAATATCCTGTGGTTATTGAGAAAATTTTCAAACCTGTATTTTGCTGATGCATACTAAAGTGTTTAGATGTGAATTGTTATATCTGCAACAACAACAAAATAAAGAAAATACAGAAACATGTTTGGAATTTTTCATAACAGCTATTTGGCATTTAAAAATGTCACTCAGATGGCTAGATTTCCATTTTTTATAAATCCTTTATATTGACTGAGACATTTTGTGATTAAAAAGTTTTCCATCTTAATATATGTTACTTTAGATTTTTAGAATAAACAACAGAGTGTCTTTTTCATGTTTCTGTATTTTCTTAGAATTACTTCAATGATTTAATCTTTATTTTTTAGCAGATATTTATTGAAGCTGCTGGTACCTTACCAGGAATCAAGACACTGGCACCAAGCTGTAGTGACTGTCATTGTATTCTTCCCCACCACAGATGTGCAGTGAAAAAGAAAAACACAAATATGTCAGTTCTGTACACACATGCCCCCATGTATTTTTTTCCTAGGTAGAAGTCCTTTTTCAGATATATGATTTGCAAAAATTTTCTCCCATTCAGTGGACTGCTTTTTTAAAATTGCTTGATAGTGTCCTTTGAAGCACAAAACTTTCAAATTTTGAGAGACTGGAAGGTACCTTTCTCTCTCTATATTCTTTTATTGCTTGGTATGTGTTTTATATACCTAAAAATATAGACTTTTAAAATGTACATTGTTAAGTGTTTTACGGTAATGTTTTCATTTGTCAATGAATATTTTACTTTATTTTTAATTGTGGTAAAATATACTGTATTAGTTTGCGAGGATTTCCATAACAAAGTGCCACAGACTGGGTAGCTTAAACAGCAGAAACGTATTTCTTCATAATCCTGGAGGCCAGAAGTCCAAGGCCTAGGTGTCGGCAGGATTGGTTTCTTCTAAGGCCTCTTTCCTTGATTTATAGATGACCAAGTACCTGAGTGTCTGCATAGGGTCTTATCCTGTCTTTGTGTCCTGGTTTCCTCTTCTGGGGACACTATCAGATTGGATTAGGGGTCAACCCTAGTGACCTCATCTTAACCCTAATTAGCTCTTTAAAGACCCTTTGTCCAAATGTAGTCACACTCTGAGGTATTCAAGGTTAGGGCTTCACTATAAATTTGAGTAGGACACAATTCAGCCCATAACAAAAAACTTACCATTCTAATCATTTTTAAGTGTATATTTAAGTGGCATTTATGCACATTAACATTATCCACCATCCATCTCTAGAACTTTGTGTCATTTTTCAATATTGAAGCCATTAAACAATAACTCTCCATTCTCCCCTCTTTTGCCCTGGTAACCATCATTCTATAATACTTACTGTTTCTATAAAACATTATTTAGAGACAAATTTTTATCACTAGTGAAACTCTTCAAAGTACCCCCAAATTAATTATTTTTATCCTAATTCTACCAGGTGTAAACAGACCTTTTACATAGCTAAGAGGCTCTTTACAGTCTGAAAGCGCATGCAGAATTTTGTCTTTATTTGTTTTTTTAATTTATTTTTTTAATTACAGTTTACATTTAGAGTTATCCTGTGTTAATTTCAGATGTACAACAAAGTTGTTCCTGGAAGAGATTCCAGATATCTCATGATCAGATTCCTTAACTTTAGTCTTAGAGACTTGGATCAGTCTTGCTTGATTATTTTTCAAGATAGATAATTCAAGATTTCAGTATTTTTTTTAAATCCTCATCTGAGGATATGTTCATTGATGAGAGAGAGAGAGAGAGAGAGAAAGAGAGAGAGAGAGAGAGAGAGAGGGAGAGGGAGAGAGAGGGAGAGAGGGGGAGAGAGAGAGAGAGAGAAAGAAAGAAAAGGTCCAGAACAGGAAACAGAATGGAGAAAATCAGATTCAAGGAGCTTCAACGCTCATTGGTGGGTGGCTTGCAGTAGTTGGATGTGGTTGAGACGATAGACTGGTACATAGGGAAGGAGTTGCTAGTGATGCGGCTTGAACCTGTTTAGAGCACAGGTTTTGAAGACCTTTACTATGATAAAAAGCACACCCTATGAAAAGAGAGTTCTTAGACATTTTTAAACCTTAGAATGAAAGACAGGACCTGAGAATATTAGGTAATGTTAGCTAATTTTATTACATAGTAAATAAATGCAATCTAAATGCATTTATAGCTATATCATTTTAAAATGCCCATTATGTGCTTCTTCATAGATTATGAATAAATACTGATTATTTCAAAAAGCATTAAATATATATTTTAATATATTTTATATTTGGCATATTTAAATATTTTCTGTATTTAAAAATAATATATACCTTTGCTTTGTGTTTTTTAATTCCTTTTTTCCAGCTCTATGGAAGACTGGACGGATGAGGAACTAATGGAACCCCTGAAATATGCTGAACAACTTCCTGTAGCTCAGATAATACACCAGGTTTGCTTTCAAGCTTATTCTTTTGAAAGAAACATTTTAATACCTGAAAAATAATTGCTTTTGTTAGGTTTTTCAGAGTCATTGTGCCATAGCTGAAAGGCGTTCCAGGCCACCTATTCCTGTGTAGACTCCATCTATTGCATTGGAAGTCTCATTCTAAGGACAATATTAAAAGGCTACTTGCTGTGTAACAGTAGAATTCTTACTTATATAAAACACAGGGTAAAATTAGAATTACCTTCTGTGCATTTCTTAACAACAAGACTTAATTTCAGAAAACTTTCACTTGAACCATTGTATATAATACTTGTTACTGACAAGGAAAAAGAACTATATGATTTGGAGTAATTTTTTTGACTAGTTAAAATGAGAAAACAATATTTCCATACTTCTTCCACCCTACCCCATTATCAACTTTTGTGAAGTATAATTTTGAATGTCATGTGGGCAATTTCTTCATTTCTAATTATAATGACTCTACATCCCTTCTACATAACTCTAATCTTAGAGAAGGCAGTGTAGTAAGTATTTAAAAATATTTTGTACTGTGATTTTGACAGCATATAAAGTCTGCCCTGCTGGGCTAGAATCTAAGAATTTTAAATGGTTTGTTGACAAGAGTTTTGGCCTTTTGACATATCAGAATTTTCAGAATCTATAGATTATAGGAAATATTAAAAGTCCTTGGAGGTCAGAATTTTTTAGAATTTTAATGAATGTTAGCTATTTTATTATGAGTCCTTCTGTATGTCCTTGTTAATCACAAGAATTTTTATTTAGCTGATATGGGTGGGTTAGAAGATGTACCCCTTTGAACTTCCTTAAAGAAATAGGCTTTTACTTTAAAATGTTGGCCATGTAGATAGTTTCATTGACACTAAAATACAATTTTGAAATTTTGGGAGAAATTACAAAAAAAATGGTCAGAAATGTGTCCCTTTGGGAAGCCTATCTGTACTTGGCAATCAGGTTCTATTTATATGTCAGGAATTCCCTAGTGTTGTCAGATCCTAAATGACTGAACAGCCTGCAAATGTCACATTTTAAATTCTGTCTTCATGCCTGACACTCAGCATAAATGAATTAAACAGCAGAGCAGGCAGCAAGTCAATATGTTCTTAACAGTAAGAGTGAGCAATGAAACAGTTTGTGGTTTGTTCAGAATAGGTAAATAGATTCGGCCCAGAACAGTTCACCTGGAATAAAATCTGAAACAGAACACAAGAATTAACCTTTAAGATGGTTGACCAGAGGAAATGTCAGTCATATTTTTGTAACAGGAAGGAGCCAATAAGTTTTGGATTATGTAACAACTGCATTTTGCTATTATACACTATGAATGCAAAGATGAACATTTTTAACCCTGGTGAAAATTTTTATTATATTTTTGGCAGTATAAAAAACTGTATTAATTTAAGCACTGACTTATGAACACTATAATTATAATTCTGTAGCACCTGCATTTATAAAATTTTAACTTTTAAGAAAGTTACATGATAGGGATTCATTTTCTTTTGTTTTTACTGAATAAAATTAATTCTGTTCCAGGGGGTAATCAGGAAAGGTTGTTATTAAACCAGACTTATCTATTCCACTTATTATTTCCCTTTACTGACATACAACTTTGGGACTGTTACCATTGTCTGTATAAGTGGTCTTTAAGAAACATGAGTTATGTTGCTAGAAATTCACTTACAAGTGGATTATTTGGTAGTAATTTTCCCCTTAACCATATTAATAATTAGGTTTAGCCAATCCCAGAAAACCTTTAGATATATAACATATCTAAGTTATAGCATTATTATAGTATATATGGAAGCTCCACCTGTAATTATTTTTATACTATGAGAAACCATTTTTCTTCTAATCTTGACACATGCTTTATCTATGCCTATATGGAGCATGTATGATTTCTATTTGAAATGTTGTTTATGTTTTTTTTAAATTTTTTTCAATATTTATTTATTTATTTATTTTAAAAATTTATTTACTTTTTAAATACATTTGTCTCTGCCTCTCCCCCACCTCTTTCCCTTGCCCCCTCCCTCCTTCCCTCCCTCAGCTCTTCCCCTTTGGTTTTGTCCATGAGCCCTTGCTATATGTTCCTTGACTTTCCCCTTCCCTTCCCTTTCCCCGCGCCCCCCCACCCCTTCCCTCTTTGTCTCTGTTGATTTCTTTTCCTTTCAGTGTTGCTGGTCATATTTTCCTTGCATCTTTGCATTGTTGGTTAGGTTCCGCTTATAGGTGAGATCATATGGTATTTGTGTATGTCTTATATCTCCTATTTGATTGTCTTTCTGGACGTTTTGATTTTTTGATATTCCTTTCAGCATTTTGCCTTGCATGTGTGTATCTGAGTGGATGGATATGTGTTTTTAATGGTACACTGAGAGTCAAGAGTCCAGAGCACCTCTTTTCCCTACAGCCCGGATATCAGAAGGCAGGGCTGTTCCCTGGTAACGGTTTAGAAGCTACAGGAAAGGAGGAGCAAGGACAGGAGCTGTAACAAGAGGAGCAGCTTGAGAAACAGAAGAGAGAGGAATGGGTCTCAGTCAGTTGAATAATTTCTTGTGTATGTTATTCAAACTGCATTTTATTATCAGGAGTTAGGCAAGATTCTTTTCATTCCTTTTTTTTATACTGCCCAATTATTTACCATTTTTTAGGTGTCTTATCAAATATGTTGTATATATAGGAAAACCATGAGACTCAAGTTATAAACAACAGAATTAATAAGAGAAATCAGTTGAGATAGCCATATATAAGTAAAACTGATAACATCTCTGTATTTGCAATAAGCACACAGAGTGGAAAATTAGAAAATTTTTCTTTCACAACAATGAAAAGAACTATAAAATAATTAGGAGTAAATTTGACAGGTATACCATAGGACCTATACAAAGGGGGGTGGCAAACCCCCCCTGCCGTTATCTTCTGGAGGGCGGGCCCCTTGTAGTACAAGCTTCTCCCTCTAGGTGGGTGTTGCAGGAACCCACCTGTATTAGTGTACCAGCTGGTGTTGTGAGAGGCTGTGTTTGGCTTCAGTGCATTTTTTTGTTGAAGTCTCTTTCGAGGCAGTTGCCCACTTCATGTTGGATAATTTCTAGTGCACCTGCCCGCAGGTGCTGCGTGTTCAGCAGTTTTTGATCAAAAATGGCATGACCCCCATGCTCCACCCTTCCTATATATCCAGTTTCACCCCGAGCAACTTTTTCTTATTTCTGTGGATAAAAAAAGTCCTCAAAGGCAAACATTTTGCTGTTGTGGAAGAGGTGAAACAAAAAACAAAAAATGGCAGAAGCACTGCGAGGCATCGAAATCAAGGAGTTCAGAAACTGTTTTGAGCAGTGGAAAAAAAGTCTCAATATGCGTATTGCATCACATGGAGAGTACTTAGAAGGTAACTGAAGTTTAAATATGTAAGAATAAATATACAATTTTTAAAAATATATTTCATTTTTTGGATTCCCTTCTTGTATAATAACCGCAGAAATATACTATGTTTCATAAACAGAAAAATATACCAAATTATTTGATGGTTTCATAAACAGAAAAATATACCAAATTATTTGATGGTGTGGGGAACTTAATATGATAAAGGTAAGCTATTCCCAAATTAGCAATTCTTATTAGAATGGAAGCAAGTTCTTTTTTTTTTTAATGTTAGGGAAAAAAAATGACCACATAGTTTATGTGGAGGAACAAATATCCAATGATTGCCAAAGAAAAGTATAAAAGAGAGGTGCACCTGCCTCACCATCTTTCAGAACACAAACAGTAAAACAGAACACAACCGAGAAGAGTATTTCAAGTTTTCTTTATTGTAATTCACAATAAACACATTTACATACATAACAACACCTGATATATGTATTTGTGCAAATTTAAAAATAGAAATGTTTCTTGAAATAGATATTCTTATTACATATAATTTACACTATTAGTTTCCTATTTTTAAAAATACCAAATAAAGTCTACTAAATTGATTTCAAAAAGCAACAAATAATCCTTACTGGTGGCTTACAAGACTAGAATGGAGAATCTGGAGGAAAAAAATCATTATATTTGATCATTTAAAATATGATTAAGATGATATTTCAGTAGGAAAAGAGTTAATCTTCAATTTGTACTATATCTGAAGTAAATTATGTATAGATTAAAGACTTAAAGTAAAATAAAAATTTTAGAAGAGAATTTAGGCAACTGCGTTTATAATCTGGAAGTACAGAAGAACTTAATGAACATAAAAACCAAGAAGATATGTGTTAGTTCTATAAAAATGGGATGTTTTATATGACATAAGATACAACAGCATTAGAATTAAGGCAAACTGTTTACAAAGAAGACAGCAATAAATTGGTGAATATCTAAAATATATAGAGAACTCTTGGAAGTTTATAAAGGCAAACAAAACAACTTAGTAGAAAAAAAGATGAAAAAAGTGGTTTCAAAAAAAAAAAAATGACCAGTGAATGAAAGAAAAGAGCCTCAGTATCACATTATAAATTCAGTGAACTTATTTTATGTCCATTGAATTGGCAAAAATTAAAAGTATACTTTGTACAACAGTTTGGCAATTCTTTAAAAGGTAAAACCTAGTTCCTTATGACCCAATGATTCCAATTAGATATATAAAAAGCATGCATCCACACAAAAACTTGTACATGCATGATCATAGTAGCATTATTCATAATAGCCAGTAGTTGGAAACCACCCAAATGTCTCTCAACTAATGAATGGAGAAATAAAATATAGTATATCCATATAGTAGACTATTATTTGATGATAAAAAGAAATGAAGTACTGATACTTGCTACAACATGGATGAACCTTGAAAACAGTATTTCAAATTAAAGAAACCAGTCACAAAAGACCACGTATTATATGGGTGCAGTTATATGCAATGTCCAAAGTAGGCAAAAGGTAGATTAGTTGTTGCCTAGGACTTATATGAAAGGGGGAATGGAACTGACTTCTAAATGGGCTGAGTGTTTCTATTT